TCACCTATGTTTGCATCTATGTTGCAAACATAGGTGACTAATCAGGTCACTATGGTCTTTCTTAGAGGTCTTAACGTCTTTGAAAACATATCTCTGCAGAGAACTTTTCTGTGGGAAACTAACTCATATTCACTATGTAAGCAAGAAAATCAGCAAATTCAGAGCAGCCAACCTTTTTAGTTACCAAGAGTTACACGTTCGCATCTCTTCATGAATCGGGGCCCACCAACGGCCGAGCGGTAAAGTCGCTGAACGCTAGTAGTTCGGGCAAAGGTTCGAATTCTGCAAACGGGCTGGCTGCATGAGCGTTTTCGTGGTTTTTCCCATGTGTAACGTGTATACGAGCCAGTTTCCCTTAGAAAGTTCTCCACGTGGCATTCCTCCCCTTAGGCAGATAGCCCTCGAGGCTTTGTCATAATCACACACACATACACTCTTCATGAATCGAAAAAGTACTCAGGTTAATGAAATCTTCATCTACTATGTTAGACATTATGTTTCGCCAGTTTAATTCGAATTATGATTTTTGAAAATCTGAATAAATATTTCTAAGAATCTGCATAAATTTTTAATAATAAAAAACAAGTTTCTCATATGTTTTGCTTTTAGCATTTACTTCTGTATGAACTGCAGGAGCTACAAGAAGTAAAATCACATCATTTTTATATATGGAATTGAGAAACTCAAAGCCTAAAGTTTATAGTCAAATGTCTTCTTAATTTTGAGATTATATATGTTTAGCATCATTTAGTTTGCTTAAAAAGTTATTAATTTTATTAAGAGTTATTCTTATTAACTCATTCATTATTAAGAATATTCAGAACTCTTATGCATTCAATTATTAATGAAACCTTGAAGAAGAAATACCTGAGTCAAATTCCATTGAAATACATTAATTATTTTACTAAAATAAAAGTCACTTTGAAATTTTGATAAGTTTGTGAGTTTTTCGTCTCCAGTTTTGAACTTTTATAATTTTAATTATTTATAAATGGTAAAATTCAGGTATTACAAATTAAATTAGAGTGCAATTTTTCGGCTTAACGCACCTCTGTATCAGTATGTTTTCAACTATGAACTAGCAGATTTCTTTTTGCATATAATAAATGTAATATTTCCTTATTAATTAAGAGATCGCGTAGTAATAATAAAAGAAATAAACTTTGAAATTCTCTATCTTTACTCTTCAAAATAAACAAATTTATGAAGCAAACTAGTTTAAAAATATTACATTCGGTAAAAACAGGATTTTGCATTTAAAACAAAATTGGGTAAACCATAAAAAATATAAAAGAAACGAAGTTTAAAAAATTTATTGTTATTTTAATATAGTAAGGACATGGTTATAGTAAGGACTTGGTAAATTCTTAAACAGTTTTAAGCTTTTAAATTACGAAGTAATATTTTTAAAAACTTTTAGAATTATAAAATATAACACGTAATGTTACGATCATTCTCATAAAATAATAAAAATTAATAATGTATCTGCCAGTTAGAAAATTAATAAGGACATTGAATTCCGTAATGAACGCCCTGAATAAGTACTTCTAATGAAAGTACACATTCCTTTAGAAAGACTTTCATGAAGGTATTTCTTCCAAAGGTGGACTGCAAGCGCTTTGCTGTAATAAAATATGTACAACTGAAAAGGAATGCTGTTAATTATAACTTCGCGTATTCAAGATTATATTAAAAGTTTCGATTGTTTTCCTATGTATGTGTTGTTCAATTTTTAATATAATTATGAATTTTTTGTTAAAGATATTTGATCCAAGTATTTATATTATAATTTTTTTTTTTTTTACAGCAATTTTTAGCAGTTTTTTTATTTTTCGCTATTGGGAATTAATTCCTTTTTTCCTTAGCAAGAAAACATATTCTTATTTGCAGTCGCTTTCCCAAAATCCGGTCCTTTCCTTTAAACTAAATTACTAGCTACAGTAAAAATTCGATTAGTGTCATTTAAGTGATGAAAAAATGTCGATGACATAATGGAAATAACGACTTATAAGAACAAGGAGTGGAAATAGTACTCAGTATGCATTATTATAAGTAGTTTGTATGTTAATGAGTTACCAAACTTTTCATAAGTATAACACAAATTATAAGAGACAGCGAAGCCTCGGATAACGACGTTCTCACTTTACGAATAGCTTATCTGAACAAAAAAGCCTCGCATGGCGAACGGTGTCTCAAGTTGCAAACACTCTGAGAACATATGATATTCAAAGTGTTTTGAGGTAAGCTGTGCCGCATAATTAACATTCAGGTCTTCTTTAAAAATGATTGTAACATTTTACATTGCTTAACTCTCATTAACAAGCAGTGACCCAGAGGAGCATGAAAACTTCAGCCTAGAAACAAGTATGGCCAGATTGGATTGCACGCAGAGATTTTAAGCACTTTGACACTTACTGTTTTGTTATCTATGATACTGTGTCTCTAAATAACAATATGGACTATGACAATGAAGACGTGGATATAGTACTAGAGGATGATAAGCCTGAGCTAAACAAGAAATAATTACAACTTCAGAAGCAGCAACAGAGGACGAATGTGCAAAAAATGTCTTCAGAAGGGGAAGAAAGAAAAATAATGATAGTTCTCAGGTCTGCGAAATTTGCGCAAAAGGGGGTAATATGCAAAACATCCATGTAACCATAGTACCTGATAAAACAGAAACAAGCTACAGTATAAGAAATTTCAATCCCCTTTAGAAGCATTTTGAAAAGCATCATCTAAGAAACGTTTTTAAAATGTCTCGCTTCGGAAACATTTTAAAACACAGGTAATAACAAATCCCACTGGACAAATTTTGAGGAAAACAAAGATCCAAAGAGTCTCAAGCACACTCGGGTGAGACTTAGAGATGAAGAAAAGGTGAAGGATGACGCTTTTTAAAGAGAGTGATCTCTGTTTGTGGAAGGAAATTTCGCATCCAAACTATAGCATCTTCATTCCCATTTATGCCGCCTTTCTCGTATACTCTTCTTTGTATAAGTGCATTAACACCAAGGAGACGGCCCCTGGCCTGGGAGATAGGATTCTCCCTTTCAAGGTTTAATAGAACCGCAACCTCAGGACCGATCTGGGAAAACTTCCCTCACAGATTTTGTCGCCAGCGAAGTGACCAACGGGCGACCATCACGAAGAGATCCACAGGGCCGGTCCCAACGCCGACTACTTTGTAATGCTACAGTGAAAACTAAGTTAAAATTCCCACGATCGGGGCACCACTCTCTCTCGCAGTACTAATTTCTAAAACAGTATACTTTAAACCAGAGTTCATACGTCTCTCCACACCGAACGAGAGGATCCTCCCAGACGGTCACACCATCCACCATGTAACGTCCCCACAGCTTTGGTCTCCGACAAGACAGTACCATATGGTCCCTGTCAAGCCTGAACCACCACCGAATGAACGATGGCTCTAGTCTTTACCGTGAAGACTGTTTATTTCCTCAGTCCAGAGCTGTCTATACACAAGTCTAGCCAGTGATCTGAAGGAATTCCGGTTCTCCTCCCATATTTGTATAGGTACAGTAAAATTAAAATATGATTTATTTTGGTTTATGTTACATGTTTAATATCGTATTTATCTGTTTTTATATTTAATGATTTCCATCGGTTTGGAGGCACGAGGTATTATTGAAAAGTTTAAAAAAGCAATCATCTGTGGTCCAGAAAGGAATTAATCTATTTTACTTAATTCTTATGGGAAAAATGTTTCGTTTACGAATATTTCGTTCGACGAACGGCCTTCAGAAAAGAATTAAGCTCGTGAGCCGAGTTTCACTGTACATCTGAATAATAAATTACTAAATAATGAAAAACCACCTTATCACTTTTGAACTTTGTTAAAAAAATTCTTAAAATTTCTGTTCTGCTACGGTACGTAAGTATTACAGCATAAAGTAGTTATCTAAACAAACAACTGTCAATAAGATGGATTTTTTTCTAAAGCCGATAATGCTCTGATTTTATTATCTGTAATAAATGGAATGAGAGTAAAATAATATTGATTTTTTTTTCGTTTCAAGAATATGCCCATTATAGGAGCAGAAAAAATTTCTTCAGCATCATTATCATTTCTCTTGTTTTCAAGCTTTTCCTCTAAAACTTCCACAGTTAAATCTTTTAAAAACACTTTATGATATATTGCTACATTTTATCAAGTTCTATGAAAGTAATCAAAAAGATCTTTGAATGTGGCGAAAAAGATGGGTAGATTAAGATGGTGTTTTAGGCCTATAAAGCTGTAATGACAAATTTGTTATTGAAAAGTCATCTAGAGATCTTTGTTGTCTAGAGATCGATTTTTTCCGTTTTAATGCAGACAAAGATTGAATTAGGCCAACCCACATTCCATAGATGAACAAAATTGAAGTTGGAACTATGACCAAGTATTTATATTTGAGCCTGGTCGACATAGGACATTATCTGGAAATTTTTCTGATTTAGATTTTTGCTCTAAGGGTACCACATAAAAAATTAAATTTTATGTTTTCAAAACCATTCTAACTCTACTTTCAAAATTCTCATAAATCTCTCACTCTGTTTCGAAAGCTTCGTAATTGTAAGTATCATCAATCAACAATGTTTAAGTAAACAGTCTCATTTGACGAATAACCTGGGCATTTCTAAAGAATTTCTCTCACTGTTCTTCAGGAGATATAAAAAGACAAAATATCTAAAAAATTTAACTGGTTGACTGAACTCAAAACAAAACCTTAGAAGTAATTTTTTCTGCTCCTTTCTCCGTCTGTACGTAAGTGTCCTCTGATCGTTCTCTATTTTGATGAATTCGGATAGGTTTTTACCTTTCTTGATTATAAGCATAGTTTAATCTTTTTGTTATAATTTAATTTCTTCTATTTATAGTCTCACATAATTTAAGTTGATTCAAAAAACAAGTTAAAAAACTACTGATCCAGTAAATTATTTCTTTTAGAAAAACGAAATTTTCTTGCGAACTCAAATATTGCAATATTGAATCTCAATGATATTTGTAATAATTTTATTTGCTTTCTAAAATAATTGCATTATCACAAGAAAAATACATAAAATCTATTTTCACGAATAATCTACACGTATGAAAAACTGTTTTCATTACTGGGAACTTCGAGTGAAGAAATCTCATTAAAAGAATGTCTCTATATCCAAGCTACTATATATGACGACATAACTTTCACAGCCTTCGACACCCAAGTACTGAGAGGATGAACTCTTCTTTCCTCTCTTCTTTCTTCTCTTATTTCACGCTGAGATTGTGTTTCGTTCTCAACCTCTGATTCTTGCATACTTTCTGGTTGGCTTATTTCGCTGCTCATTTCGTCGTTCTGAAAGAAGATGCAAATATTAACCCATACTAAGAAACAGTCTTAATTGTTTACGATTGCGGGCTTACACATTAAGGACTCAAAATAACAGGTAAAGAGTTCTTTGTATTTACAAAGTGTATAATCATACAGTACATTATAAATACGATTTCAATTTGGGATTCATCAGGTAGACACTAATGTTGTTATTAATCTATTAATACTTCAGCTGCCCAACCGGTATAGTGCTTAGCGTCACTGATTACCGTGTCGAAGGTCCCGAAGTTCGAATCTCGGAGTAGGCATGCATGTTTGTAAATGAATAGTGTCCGTGCGGTATGGAGCATTCTAAATATGTGGCGAGCTGAAAGTCCTCTAGAAAGGTTGTGGAAGGAGAAAAAGGGTGGGAGGCCCTTGGAAACGTTCTTCCCCGTGGTGCTCTCCATAAAAATTGGGGGTGGAACTCAGCTAAATCACACTGTCACCTATAAGGTACTCAAGGCTGTTGCCAACGACAGGCGTAATTTTGCGCTCCTTGCCACGAAGAACTTAGTGGGCTTGGGCTGACTATACGTCAGACAAGTGAGCATCAGCAACAACAAAAACAACAGTAACACTTTAACATAATTTATCCGTTACAAATTGAAACAAAGAGATTGTTTTTCTACAGCCGATGGCTATTTTTTATGATAATAATAATATTTTCCTTGTATATTTACCCGTATAACACAGTCATGAAATACTTCCCCCAACTCTATGATCTAATTTTCACCAGCTCTGTGTTTAATTTTGTATCATTTCTATTCAAGCGAGGTTCATAATAACATTGATTAATATGTCAAACGTATGAACTACATTCCTTTGTCACAAGTTTTGCAAACAAGTATTCGTAAATGCCATTCAGGGAGAGAAAAAATTAATAGGAAATTTAGTAAACCTGGAAAGCTAAATGATGTACTATATTTTATGTTTCCAAACATCTGTCAAATTTAATGTCATCTCGAAAACATAGAAACTTCAAAAAATTATTTTAGTCACTTTTATTCAAAAATTAATGAATGTGAATCACCAAAAAATGTAGGCAGGTAGGTAGGTTACGGAGGACTGGAACGCCTGGTGTCTAACAGAGGTTAAACAGGCATGTGTTCCACGCCCTCCTCTAACTACAGCAAAAGCTCCCTGGAGCCACACGAGGCTGCACCAGGAGATTATTGAGGTTGTCAAAGGGAAGTACATGGCCTTACAAGGGCATTAGTAGGATTGTATTACAGATTGAAGAGGCAAGTTGTGGTGTTGCAGATGGTAGGTAGTTAAACTAGAAATACAATAAGACATACACATAAAAAGACATAAATACACATAAGCAACATACTTTAACCAGAAAATATAGCAGTATAATGGATGAAAATGTACCAGAAAAGGTAGCAGTATAATGGATTCTCACAAGAATTACTCTATACTCCCTTTCGGAAATTTTAAAGGCCATTAGTTACTTCAAAGACTCTGAAAGCCAGGTATATTTAATGCTTTTTCAGTTCTAAAAGGCCATAGATTAAGGAGCCACGTATTTTTGAATTTGAAGTTTATGAATTGAGAAAGAGCTGATGGAAAAAATGTAAAATATGTGTAAAATAAAAGTAAAAAATACATATAAGTTCATTCACACCTCTCCATGTGTACAAATGCAATGATACCATGTTTTTATAGCAATATAATTCTGTAACAACATTTCAAGCTATTATGTGGCATAATATAACCTAAATTCTTGTTTACGGATGAGAATTCCCGTCTTCATCTAGCTGGTATACAGAAAATATATACAAAGTCAGCACACTAACCACTTACACTTACTTTGCTGAATAAATTAACTAGTCAACTTGTAAACACATTACGATAATTTTGGAAGCAGGCAAGATGAAAAATGAGCAAACGCCTTCGCCGGGAATCGAACCACGGACCTCTGAAATACCGGCTCATTGTGCTGACCACTACACCACGAAGACACGCTAGGAACGCGGGAGAAAAAACCTTATATACTCCCCCTTTTAAAGGGAGACTAAGGTTTTTTGGGGACCCAATCGCCAAATTCTGGGTGTGGAGAATCCTCATCCAACACTCTTTTAGTTCTGGCGCCATTGTAGAGACATTAGGTATTTTTTAGAAGCAGGAGATGTGTAAACTTAGTAACCGCCTTCGCCGGGAATCGAACCACGGACCTCTGAAATATCGGCCCAGCGTGCAGAACCACTACATCACGAAGGCACGCTAAGAAAGCGGGAGAAGTGCCTTATATACTCTCCTTTTTAAAGGGCGATTGGGTCCCTGTTCACGCGCCTCTTTAGAGACATTAGGATATTTTTGGAAGCAGGCAAGATGAAAAATGAGCAAACGCCTTCGCCGGCAATCAAACCACGGACCTCTAAAATACCGGTTCAGTGTGCTGATCATTACACCACGAAGGCAGGCTAGGAAGGCGGGAGAAATACCTTATAAATTTACTCTGCTGAATAAAAAGAATATAAAGTATTGTAAATTATTTTATTGTTCCTTATCGCGTGCATTCGGTGTAATTGAAAGTACGGCCAGCTAGCAGTTGGAAAGTCCTTAGTTCCCGCGAAGGCAATGCACATTTTTCATGTTTCCAGTTTCGAGAAACCTATGACTCTACAGAATAAGTTCAGACAACGTCTTTCAGGATGTTGTCCATAGCCTAGAACTCATCTTCCGACAGACATTGAGCAAAACTGAAGCTCTGCCTTTCAAAATTTATTTTATAATCACGCGCTAATTTTCTTCAGGCCAGACATCGAGAACAATTTTGCAGTGCAACCTGTTATAGCTTTTATATAGGGAGATTGAAAATTATCTGATAAAAATGTAAAGACAGATAGAGGGGACCGAAATAAGCAGTTTTTGTAACGGAATATGTTGTCCTGTTGAGACAGGGCTCCATTGAGGGACAGATAAAAACATTCGACTGGAGTAAATCGACGTTCCCTTGCGAAATGAGAGTAGAATACATCGCTATACGAAATCTGAGCTCGCCAATATGTAACTTATTTATGCGGCTGCAGCTGAAATGGAACAGCTAATCAAAGGAGCCCGAGTACCGTCTTTGTGCAGCTGCTCCATTTCTGTCCATGACTTACAGCAGCAGAATGCTTTTAATTACCGCTCAGTAGCACCATGTACCCAAGGCCGGTGCTAGGCTTTTCGCCTTCCCGTATAATTTGCAATTTATAAATTCTGCTGCTGATTTTGTTCTAAAGTCTGTAAGTTTTGCCGCTCCTAAATTCGTCCGGGTGCGACTGCTTTGGTTGCAATCGCTCTGGCGCTGGCTTGACCACTTCAGTTCACCATTTCCTCACACAAATTCCATTAAAAAATTTGTTTTATTTCGGTCCCCTCTATCTACCTTTTAATTTTTTCCAGATAACTTTAATCATCCTATGTGAAATTAAATAAGTGATCGAAAATAACACCATAAGTAATATTACGCAGATTATTACCACCATTATAGGACATCAGGCGCTTGTCCATTTATTAACGTCAGGGTTCAATTTATTTAATTTTTGTTTTAATTTTTGAAATGGAATGTTAGTTGTTTACGGAGTTGAAACTTTCGTGCGTTGTCATGTTTTCTTTTTGGTAAAAAGTTAATATTGTAAAAAATGTGATAACAGAGTCAAATGGTAAATTAATTATGGCAAAAGAATTAATATCCACTGTCAGGGTTTCCAAGACAGAAAAAGCATGCATTCGCACATGGAAAAGTTAAGCTCATGATAATGCCTTTTCTTGGGGACGAGGAGGATGAAAGGTGTAAGCACAAAAAGAGTAGACTTCTATCATTATAAAAAAAAAGGTAAATGCCAAGTATCTATTTCTCTAAATGTAACTGCCATGGTACAGATATCTGCCTCGAGATTATTACATTAACAAAACAAACTAAAATTAATTAATAAAGAAAAATAGCAAATTTAAGTATGCTTCTATGTCGTATCATATTAAAAGAAAAACATCGGCCGAATTGTCATTTACGCTACCAAATATTAGTTCTACGTGGGTCAGATCATTTCATACAGCAAAGAGTTATAGAATACAAGAGGTTTCGTGGAACGTCCAAGGCATCTACGAAAAAATCTTCGTCACAGATTATTTTTATATACTATGCATAGTTTCAGGGAAAATATAGCCCTTTCTCAAAAGTGCTCTAAATGGAAAATTCTTAAATTAATTTTTCCTTCCGGTTCGAACTAAAACAAAATCGGCAGTATACCTTTATCGTCCTGATCTTCCTTCCTCTTCTTCTTACCACACGTTTCTTTATTCCATAATTTACCTCTGGTAACGAAATTAGCGAATATGTGTTCCGTCGCGTTCGAATCGTATTTATGTCGCTTATCTTCACATTGCTTACTCTTATGTTTCCAGAGTTAGGACAGTACCCAAGACGCCTCAAATCTCGTTTTCGAACAGATGGGCTTTTGGTTGTAGAAACTTTCGATTTCGAGCTAGTAGGCATTATTAGATCTTTCCGTTTTCTACTGACGTTCCTCTGAATGTCTACGGGTGATGAGGATTCTCTGCGTCGCTTCTTGGCATTCTTTGGAACTTCCATATGTGATTCCGTATCACTGCGTTTCTTCCTGTTTGTTGAAATTGTATTGTTTGAGAGACATTGTGTTAATTCTGTTTCCTTTGTTTTAGAGTTCCGAGACATTTTTATACGTGATTAGGGAACCTGTTAAAGAAAGAAGAACCATTAAACTAATTCTAAAATGAGGCAAGTAATTCATTGGAGAGAAAAAAAGTTAGGAAAATGTTTAATTTAATTGTCTTGGGTATTGCTCTTCGAATCTAGCCCAGTATTGTTCACATATATTTTCTCTTTTTATATATATATGTGTGCGTGTCTAAGATAAAAAAACATATAAATCAAAATACTACTCAAATTTTCAAATAGTTCCTTAACTCTCGATTTAGTTTGCGCCTTCTTGGCCTAAAATTAGAAACTGCTTATAATTAATCACTCTAATTTGCTCCGTTTCATAATTAATCCATCCCAAAACGCTAATGACGTAAATACTTGCATGAAGCTTCAGCCAATAATAATTTAAAATTTCGGTTTGGCTGATTTTTGGTTTATTTTTTTACGGCAACGCGCACTAGACCTTGCCTACCTTCGTGGAGAACTTTCTGAGGGAAAGTGGCCAGTATCCATGTTTAACATTGGGGAAACCACGAAAACGGCATGCAACCGACTTGTTCTCCTGTAATCAAGCCTAGGTCGAACTACGAGTTCGGCCGCTGGTGGGCCTTCAAATTTCGCAGCAAGGTTTAAGCAAAAAAGCTTAAATTTAAGCAGGAAGGATAAGGTTTAGCTGAAACTAAAACATTCTGAATCCATCTTTCATCTCGCATAAGTTTCATTCTCTCTGTCTCTCTAACTGGACTGCTGTATATGCTTTCTTTACTTATTGCAATGTCTTATATAAAAGTTTCCGGAAAACAAAGCATAATTTGAGAACTAGTTAGTTGTGTCTTCATCAAAAATGGTTTATCCAGAGAAAAAGTGTCTAGTTTGCCCCAACTGCATCAAATTCTTCATGAATCAACTATCATCATTAACAACTTACGCCACTAACATCTAAACTATTTCATATATATATAAAATTCGTTTCTTATTAAAGTTATAAAAAGATATCTAAATAACTATTTAAATGGAAATTAGCACTAAAAATTCTGAATTTGTTTAGAATTTGATAAAACTAAGGGAAGAAAAATTGAAAGTAACAAGTAAACTATGTTTATTACGTTTGTGTTCGTTACTTTATTAGGAAAAAAACTATTTACCTTTACATTTGATCAAATAACAGTTCAAAGAATGTATGCTTTTTCAAACTGGGATTCATCGAAGCCTTTATTGGCTTACTTACGAAAACGAATAGTAGCATTAAGCATAATACGTATTTCGCAGTAAAAATATATTCTTAGTAAAAATTTTGAGGATGAGAGTTTGCATGTAAGTTAAAATTTTGTCAATATTCACAAGGAAAACGCCGTTGCCAAAGGCATATTTAATTCTAATCAGTTTTATCATTTTAATACAGTTGTTAATTCTGCACGCTTTTGTTAGAAAAGTAAAATACTTTGTTTAACCATAAATATAGTAATAAAAAAATCTGAAAGGTTTCAGATTTTAAATTACGTCCGAAGGGGTATTTTTTTAATATTTTGTCTGTTACTTTTATTTATTAAATATCACTTTCTTCGCACTTAAACCATAAAATTCAGCTCAATATCAATATCCCCAAATAGTTTTAAATTGAGCATATCCCTTTAGAATTTCCGATACAAAGCCCCGCGCGCTGGAGATAAAAATGTTTTTTCTGTACAACGTTGCCATTGCTCTCTTTGAAATTCTTGAGTTTGTCAATAAAAAAATTCCTTAAAGTTTTACAAAATATGAAATCGATAATAAAACAAATTTCAAATTTGGGCGTCCACATGCCCATATTAGTAGTAGGATTACGTCATTCAAAATCCGATGGCTCTGTGTACGGTTGTTTTATCACAATGCGAGAAATATACATACATTTATGCAGATTTTTCATTATTTAATTTCTTCAAATATAATGCAGGACTCTAACATTTGTTGGCAACCGTTTGAAAAGTGAAAGGAACATTTATAGTGAACCAACGCAAAATCGCAAAACGAAAAAAATAGTCCTTCAGGGACAAAACCCCTTTGGACTAATGATAGATGCAGTACGTTAATCTCTCCAAACACATATTTTTGATTCAAAAAAAAGGTTTGTGGCATCAGTCAAGAAATCCGTTTAATCGATAGTTTACATTAAATTTAGAAACCATTATTTTGAATTATTGCACAAGAGACAGTGAAATCAGGTTTTATTTTTAAATTTTGATAGTTTCCTGCAAGTAGAAGTCTTGCATTGCTTCCAGTTGTACTCACCACATTTTAAATAAAAACGAAATAACCTTTCATAACTAATTACATGAATAAGGGTTTTATTAGTGATAAGTTGATAATTAATGAAAATTATTAATGGTATTTTACACATTCTCCCCTTTTTCTGAGTCAGATATAAAATATCATAATATTATGCTGACTATATGAAAATTTAAAATAGATGTGCACAAGTAAAATTAGTAAATAGAAAATAAGTACTTTCTGATTTTTTACTACCCAGTTTCAGGATTCAACAGAACTTCTCTGTTTTCTTGTGGTTTTCAAGCATACGCCATGAAGTTTAGTAGCAGTACTAGAGTTAATTTCCTTTTTACCTCCATGGTATATACGCGACAACAGCCAATTCCGCAGAAGGGTACCATACTCATGTTTTAGTACATGTGAATTTGTATGTTTTATATTTAAATAAATAGTATCTTTCTCTGTTATTGGCCGGAAATTACTAGAAACTATTTTCATCGCGAATTACAGATGTTCATCGGTCAAATGGGTTCTTTTATTTTTAATTTTTAACTGTGAAAAGAATGCTGTTCACCAATAAATGTATTCTCTAACAAAACGATTTATTCCTAGGGCGAAAATTTGTAACTGAGTTTATTTACTTTTTGGCAAGTACTAAGATAGGTTTAAAAATTCGTAGCTGCAAATCTTTGAATAAGATTTAAAAATCGTAGCTTCAAATCTTTGAATAAGATTTATATCCCATGTAAATTAATTAGCTCAGTTTATAGATTTCCTATTGCGTTATTCATGTTCGTTTTTAATGGAAATGAAAGTAACATAAACTTGGACTTCTGAAATCTAACAATGAATCACCATACTTGCAACAAATATATAACTGAAATGTCTTCGGGGAGCTGCATAATATTGCTTAAGGGGTTACATGAAGCCCACGGTTACATGAATATTGCTTAAGGGTTACTTATATTTTAGACAATCATGTTTCATACGCCGAAGAACATGAAATCCATTATTCTATAGGATTCAGTTCTGCAGATATGCATGCACAATTCATTTTGTTAATATCCTTCCTTTACGGAAAAATAAACTATCAGATTGGATACGTGGAAGAGAGTCGTTGTCCATGGAAATGGAACTGAGGGCCATTCGCATCCCAGATGTTTGGACGTTGTTTGGAAGACAATCGTTCCTCAGCTTTCCTCCAGGACCTTCCAGGACCTGAAAACAGCCGTCTTTCAGGAGTGGGTCAGAGTTCCACTGAAACTTACAAACTGTATCATTTTCAGCATGAATTCCGGTTGTGAGAGCAGCATGACTGTTAAAGGGACTTAGCTTAAGCTTTTTTTTTTTTTTTTTTTTTTTCAATCTTGCTACTTATGTTTTAGACAATCATGTTTCATGCGCCGAAGAACATGAAGCATGATTATGAGTATACCATGACTATTGTATACTGTGTATCATACACACACCATATAATCAGATGCTGTGTATCATATACAAAATCTGTCCATCAGGGTTCCAAAATCGAACGAGTATAAAAATCCTTTTAATTTTGGACACCAGTGTGTATGTTAATCTACTATAACAATTCTAAAATTGAACTTTAGTTTAATCTTGCGATAATATCTAAACAGTTAATGCTTGTCTGAATGGAAGTAAATATTTTTTATTTTTATACACAGAAGTTCTAAAATAAAATTTTAAATAAGTGATAAAAAGCACTAATCCAGTGGTATATTCATATACAAAAAATTTAACACCATGATAAGTGATTTGATAATTATCTTATACTCTTTCTTTTTGTATGTAAATAAAAGAGGAAGTTCAAATAAGCAATGTCAATTAATGTCAAAAATAAAGGGAAAAAAGACTAAGAGATACTTCACAAGAGTAGTTGAGCTAGTTTATTTGCAAAACTAAACAAAACAGAACTTGGAATAGCTACAAAAATTTCACTTGACAGTTGAAAAGATTTTTCAGTTGAAGCAATGTAGGCATTCTTATTCTTTCTGCTTTTTCTTTTAAGCCATAAATAGCTTCCTAACTTAAGTACTTAACCTCAAAATTGTGAAACAAAAGTGACTTTTAAAGTTTAAATATTGAGAAAAAAATTAATCATAAATTTAATTCTTCCTTTAAGTGATAAATTTGTATGCACTTATATTCTTTTTGGATGGTATGCTATCATAATTATAATTTTTCTAATATATAAATTAGATATCTGTTTATTATTTGACAATTATATAGTTCTGAAATATGATGTTAACAGAAAAAGATCAAGTGATGTAAGTCTAAATTTTTGCTAAAGAACTTGTCACCAGGAAGAGGGATAAAAGTGCTTTAACTATTTATGGTATTTTTCTCTCTACATATTTTAGATAAACTGATATAAGAAATTATAATTCATGAGCCCATGTTGGAGATATTCCTTTATAGTGAGAATAATCTTAAAATACCAAGAACTTTATACTTATTTCATTCTTGTTAAGTTACAGAGAAGTGTTGAGAAAGCTTAGAATGTTTAAGATGTTAGAAATGTCACTGAAAACTAATTTTCCGTCTTGCATTCTGGGGAAAGGTACTTTAAAGTTAAATGAAAGAACTTCAAATCCGGTTTAATATTCAGTTTTAAAATGCATGAAGTGTTTTGAACGCAATTCCTAAAATGATCAATATATTAAAATATTCTAATTAAAGCTTATAGACATAAGTGTAAAGTGAAACTACTTTTACAAAAGTAGATTCACGAATAAAAGTGAATTAATTTTAATTGCTAGAACTGATTA